ATTATTGCTGATACAAAGTTTAGATACATAACTATGTTGAAGTGCATTTTTGTGTTAATATAGATCTTATAGATAGTTTAGATTCCTTATTACAATTTCATATAAATACCGTACGTGACACTAGGCTTGAGAAAGTTATTTCCTATAGAAAATGAAATTTTTTTATAGAAAAATCTTCTCAATTGTGGAAGGATCTTAAATGAAGGTAAAATTAGTTTTTTCTTATATTTTATTTCTAAATTTTTATATCATTGCACTGGCACTTTGTTGTTTTTACTTTAATGGTTTGAAATTTTTTAAAACTGCATCCAGTCAACAAATATTTAATCAAGTTTGTCTAGTTTTTTTGCCATATCAATTAAAAACCAACCTTCTCTTTTTTTATGCATTTTTTTCTTATTGACCCACAAGGCCAATAGATGCAGTTATAAATTGATTATCTATTGTAAATAAATGCAGTTTTGTAATTCAGAAAAAAATTTTAAATATATTTATACCCTACACCACTTCAGTGGAGAGGGTATATTGGGTTTGTTCTGATGTTTGTAACGCACAATAATATTGGTCCTATACCCACCTTAAAGTATACCAATCGGCTCAGAAGCATTTTCTGAGTCGATTTAGCTATGTCCGTCCGTCTGTCCGTCCGTCCATGTAAACCTTGTAATCAAACTACAGGTCGCAATTTTGAAGATAATTCAATGAAATTTGGTACATGATCTTCTATTGTCCCAGGGACGAAGCCTATTGAAAATGGTTAAGATCGTTCCATTATTTCACCTAGCCCCCATACAACTGAACCCCCCAATAGGGCTTGTAAACTTTGTAATCAAACTACAAGTCGCAATTTTGGAGATAATTCAATGAAATTTGGCACATGATCTTTTATGGTACCGTAGACGAAGCCTATTGAAAGTGGTTAATATCGGTCCATTATTTCACCTAGCCCCCATACAACTGAACTCCCGAATAGGGCTTTTAAACTTTGTGGTCAAACTACAGGTCGCAATTTTGGAAATAATTCAATGAAATTTGGCACATGATCTTTTATTGTACCGTAAACGAAGCCTGTTGACAATGGTTTACATCGGTCCATTATTTCACATAGCCCCCATACAACTGATGTCCACAATTTTATTCTACAAAAAACGGCTTAAGTATGTATATCTGAGGCAAGGTACAATTCAATTTAAATGCTTTATTATGGCAAATAAATCACATTATATTTTAGTCAAAGGTGTAGGGTATTATATGGTCGGCCTCGCCCGACTATAATTTCTTACTTGTTTTTTATTTAAGTTTGGCTTTGAACAAAACCACAAAGAGATTTTGTTGTATATTAAAAACTGCTCTTTTAGCTAAATATTTTGAAGTTAAACTATTTTTTGTTAAAAGAATTAAGTTATTGAATTATCCCAGCAAAAACTTGCATTGAAAAGTAATGAGTGAAAACTGCCTTTCAATACGTATTCATTGGAATTTTAGCTCATTAACACGGCTATGTCATTGAAGACACAGACAAGTACTTAAATAAGTCATTGCAAATAGGGAGCTAAAAGTAGTTTTATTTTACATGAAAAAAGTTGCCCACTAGGATGAGTCATTTATTATTAGTTCTTCGTTCGTGTTAAAAAACTTTCGAATATAATATGAAAAGTAAGTACTTACATCATATATTATTTTTAAGTCATTAATACGCTCCTTCTAAGTAAGTAAAGACTGTATAGTAGTCATTAAAAAGGAAAATGTTGAGCAAATTTAAGCCATTACCAGGTTTTTGCTGGGTCACTATACCTTTAAGATTTTTTCACATACATATGTAAGTGTTTCTTACACTTATGGACTTTTGCAAATATTTATTAATTATTTACAAACGTATATATTTTTGTTCAAAAGATCAACGGAAAGCAACACTGAACATAAATTATTTTTTCAGTTTTTTAAATTATATTTATATGTTGTCCTCATAAGACGGAAGGAAGGATTAATTGTTTTAAATCTCGTTCATGCAGTTAAGTTTATATGGATATATATTTTTTTACTATTAAGCTGTTTATACACAATATACGATATCAATTTGCAGTCAGTCGTTTGTTTGTTATTAAAGTTAATACTTAAATATATTATTTACATATATTAAAAAGATTTAAATATAACTTTTCATGTCTACGACTACCAACATTTTCTCTTAGGTAGTGTTATAACACGGATTAATAAAAATTGTTGCAGTATAATTTATTTCATTAAAATTTTTTTTTAAATGTTTCATCGGAAAGATACAATAAAATCACAATACACATTAAATAATTATATCGAGATTAAAGTGAAAAAAATTAAGCAAAATGGAATATAGGGGAAGCAATCTCAGTTTCAAAAGAGATAAAAATAGTCTTTCCCTACAGAGGCATGAAAATTTTATAAAGAAAACTGAAATTTTCTACAGAAAACTTTGCAATGAAATTTTCTAGAAGAAATTTGTATCAATGTAAGAGAAATTTGCAGTAGAAATGTGTTTCTTTGCAAGATAATTTTCTATATAAAATTGGTTTTGAAAATAGAAAACAGAACAGAAAATCATTTAGAAGATAAATTTTCTATAGAAAACTAATCTCTTTAGAAGAAAAATTTTCTATAGAAAACTTATCTCTTTAGAAGAGAAATTTTTGTATAATGTAGTCTCTTAACAAAATATATTTTCTACAGAAAAGAAGTCTCTTAACAAGAGATATTTTCTTCAGAAAGTAGTCTATTTAAAACAGAAATTTTTCTTAAAAATTTTCTTTTCTTTACAAGAGAAATTTAGTCTCTTAACAAGAGAAGTTTTCTATAGAAAATTGGTCTCTTTACAAGAGAAATTTTCTATAGAAAATTGGTCTCTTTACAAGAGAAATTTTCTATAGAAAATTGGTCTCTTTACAAGAGAAATTTTCTATAGAAAATTGGTCTCTTTACAAGAGAAATTTTCTATAGAAAATTGGTCTCTTTACAAGAGAAATTTTCTATAGAAAATTGGTCTCTTTACAAGAGAAATTTTCTATAGAAAATTGGTCTCTTTACAAGAGAAATTTTCTATAGAAAATTGGTCTCTTTACAAGAGAAATTTTCTATAGAAAATTGGTCTCTTTACAAGAGAAATTTTCTATAGAAAATTGGTCTCTTTACAAGAGAAATTTTCTATAGAAAATTGGTCTCTTTACAAGAGAAATTTTCTATAGAAAATTGGTCTCTTTACAAGAGAAATTTTCTATAGAAAATTGGTCTCTTTACAAGAGAAATTTTCTATAGAAAATTGATCTCTTTACAAGAGAAATTTTCTATAGAAAATTGGTCTCTTTACAAGAGAAATTTTCTATAGAAAATCGGTCTCTTTACAAGAGAAATTTTTTATAGAAAATTGGTCTCTTTACAAGAGAAATTTTCTATAGAAAATTGGTCTCTTTACAAGAGAAATTTTCTATAGAAAATTGGTCTCTTTACAAGAGAAATTTTCTATAGAAAATTGGTCTCCTTACAAGAGAAATTTTCTATAGAAAATTGGTCTCCTTACAAGAGAAATTTTCTATAGAAAATTGGTGTCCTTACAAAAGAAATTTTTTACAGAAAACTAGTCTCTTTACAAGATAATTTTTCTATAGAAAACTATCCTCTTTACAAAAGATTTTTTTAGGGAATATATAGTCTCTTTACAAGAGAAATTTTCTATAGAAAATTGGTCTCTTAACAGGAGAAATTTTCTACAGAAAATTGGAAAATTTATATAAATATTTTTTTTGTTTTTTATTAAAAAAAGAATTTTAATTAAAAATTCTTTGAAATATTATTAAGAGATGGTAGAAGTTTTTTTTTAATTTTTATTTTACAGAAAATATATATTTTACTGGCTGCTGTTAAACAAGGATAATGAATGAACTTCATTAACGTTAGAGGAATAAAAAATATAGAAAAAAAGCTTGTAACAACTTTTACTGTTTTTTCCACTTACTCTTACTCTCTCTTTGTTTAATGTAATTCAATCTTATTATTAATGCTAAATTAAATACAATTAAATTTCCACAAAATGAATCTGCCAAAAAAAACAGAAGCAGACAAATACAAAAAAGTACTTAAGAAAAGTACCTACACACTTCCATTTCTCAGCCCAAGATTTAAAAATGTTCGGGTGTGTGTGTGTGTGTATGTGTGTGATTAAATCTATCTAGCAACATTTCACTTATTGTTTAAAATATAAAAACATTCCTGTGGCATGTAGTGTTACATGCCTCATTATGCGTGATTTCTTCCTTGGAAAATAAATATTCTTTTAAGTCTGCTACGGATATGGAAAACAAGGGAAATTGTTGAAGTTCATAGAAAAGTTTTCATAGCTATCTATCTATTCATTGATGAGTAGGGAATTTATTGTGTAAATTGTTGCTAATGTATTTGAAGGATATAAACTTAAAGAAGGAATTGTATTTATGTATTTAATGAAATTTCTCTAATTTTTAAATGAATATTGTATGTGAAGAAAAATTAATTGGTGTTTTAATTAACTAATTATTTAATTTCAATTAGAAATGCTTTGAATACTTTTGCACTCCAAAACTCTCATATCAAATGCAAGTCAGTCATTTGCAATTATTGAATTTTAACCTGCATTACTGAAAGTCTTTTTTTGCAGAACATCGTTGACATTTACACTTCAAAAACAAATAAATAACAATTTTGTATACTTTTTTAACCCTATTTTTCCGTGTAAAATCGATGTAATTATAGCAACAAACAAGTTGACTTTTGAACGAACATGTCAACCGTTCTGCATATACTCTACACTGCTGGAGTGTTAATGATGAATAAATAATCATTTGGTCAATGCAACGTGCTGTTCAAATTGCAATTTTTTAAGAGTTTGTTAATAATAAAATAAAAGAAAACATTAAAACACGAGCTGATGTTAATAAACCCTGAAGTAGCTAAAGGCTTGAAGTATTTTTTTTTTTCTTTAACAAATATTTACTCACTGTAATCAAAAACAAATTAAAAATATTTCACATCATCTTTGCGAATCCACCAGTGGAGTACATACCTGTAATGAGCAAAAATAACAAAAAGAAAAAAATTACAAATTTTATTTAATATAATTTTTGTTTTATTTTACATGTAAAATATAAAGTTTACATTACGTTACATAAATATATACGGTTTACCTGCCTCACTCTGTGTGCGATTGCATGTATATAATTGTTAAAAATTTTATTTAAAAACTCCTTTAATATAATTATTTATAATTAAAAAAAAATTATTTTTCACTGTACTATGAAATTGATTGCTCAAGTTTAAACTTTACAATTATTCAACTTGTACTTAGTGTTTGTCATGTTCATGTTTCCGCCTTTTTATTAATTTTTATTCACCTGTCGCTCTATTGTTTTATCTTGTTTGTCTCATAAATTTTTGTCTTCGTTTTCTTTTGCTATTTATTGCAATATAATTATTATTATTATTTTTGTTAATTTTTTTCATTGGAAAATTGTCATTTTCTTTAAAGGTTCAACTTTAAATTGAGTGAATTGTTTGTTTTTGTTTTATTATGTTTTTTTTTTTGTTATTTCTTCCGCAGTTTGTTAATTTGTGTAAATTGTCTGATATTTTTGTATAGTTGTTTCCAAAAGGAAAATTACACTCTGTTTAAGATTTGTTTAGTCAAACAATGATACTTTGTCTTGAAAATTTAATTGTAATTCATATTTGAATCTTTGTTGCGAGGAAGTAAATATTTTGAAAGCATTTAAATTAATTTGTGCACAATTTGGAGATTTTATGCGAAATGTTTTTTTGTAATTTTTTTCACACAAATTACACAGCATATTTTAAGGGGAGTATTTGCAAGTATTTAATTTTTGAGGGAAGGTTTAGTAGTGATAGAATTGTAGACATTACGTAAACATTAAATCAACTTTTTCATTTCATACTATAGACTAGAATGTAGGCTAGACTATAGACTAGACTATAGACTAGACTATAGACTAGACTATAAACTAGACTATAGACTAGACTATAGACTAGACTATAGACTAGACTATAGACTAGACTATAGACTAGACTATAGACTAGACTATAGACTAGACTATAGACTAGACTATAGACTAGACTATAGACTAGACTATAAACTAGACTATAGACTAGACTATAGACTAGACTATAGACTAGACTATAGACTAGACTATAGACTAGACTATAGACTAGACTATAGACTAGACTATAGACTAGACTATAGACTAGACTATAGACTAGACTATAGACTAGACTATAGACTAGACTATAGACTAGACTATAGACTAGACTAGACTAGACTAGTCCTAGACATAGACTTAGACTATAAGACTAGACTAGAGACTAGACTATAGCTAGACGATAGCTAGACTATAGACTAGACTATAGACTAGACTATAGACTAGACTATAGACTAGACTATTAGACTAGACTATAGACCTAGACTATAGACTGAACTATAGACCGAGACTATGACTAGAACTATAGACTAGACTAGACTAGACTATAGACTAGACTATAGACTAGACTATAGACCTAGACTATAGACTAGAAATATAAGACTAGACTTATAGAACTAGACTATAAGACTAAGACTATAGACAGACTAGACTATAGACTAGACTATAGGACTAGACTATAGACTAGACTATAGACTAGACTATAAGACTAGACTAATGACTAGACTATAGACTAGACTATAGACTAGACTATAGACTAGACTATAGACTAGACTATAGACTAGACTATAGACTAGACTATAGACTAGACTATAGACTAGACTATAGACTAGACTATGACTAGACTATGACTAGACTATAGACTAGACTATAGACTAGACTATAGACTAGACTACTCGACTAGACTAGACTAGACTAGAACTATGATACTAGACTATAGACTAGACTATAGACTAGACTATAGACTAGACTATAGACTAGACTATAGACTAGACTATAGACTAAGACTATAGACTAGACTATAGACTAGACTATAAGGACTAGGACTATAGACTAGACTATAGACCTAGACTATAGACTAGACTATAGACTAACTATAGACTAGACTATAGACTAGACATAGACTAACTATAGACTAGACTATAGACTAGACTATGAGACTAGACTATAAGACTGGATATAGGACTAGATATAGACTAGACTCTAGACTAGACTATAGACTAGACTATAGACTAGACTATAGACTAGACTATAGACTAGACTATAGACTAGACTATAGACTAGACTATAGACTAGATATCGACTAGACTATTAGACTAGACTATAGACTAGACTATAGACTAGACTATAGACTAGACTATAGACTAGACTATAGACTAGACTATAGACTAGACTATAGACTAGACTATAGACTAGACTATAGACTAGACTATAGACTAGACTATAGACTAGACTATAGACTAGACTATAGACTAGACTATAGACTAGACTATAGACTACTATAGACTAGACTATAGACTAGACTATAGACTAGACTATAGACTAGACTATAGACTAGACTATAGACTAGACTATAGACTAGACTATAGACTAGACTATAGACTAGACTATAGACTAGACTATAGACTAGACTATAGACTAGACTATAGACTAGACTATAGACTAGACTATAGACTAGACTATGACTAGACTATAGACTAGACTATAGACTAGACTATAGACTAGACTATAGACTAGACTATAGACTAGACTATAGACTAGACTATAGACTAGAATATAGACTAGACTATAGACTATAATAGACTATAGACTAGACTATAGACTAGACTATAGACTAGACTATAGACTAGACTATAGACTAGACTATAGACTAGACTATAGACTAGACTATAGACTAGACTATAGACTAGACTATAGACTAGACTATAGACTAGACTATAGACTAGACTATAGACTAGACTATAGACTAGACTATAGACTAGACTATAGACTAGACTATAGACTAGACTATAGACTAGACTATAGACTAGACTATAGACTAGACTATAGACTAGACTATAGACTAGACTATAGACTAGACTATAGACTAGACTATAGACTAGACTATAGACTAGACTATAGACTAGACTATAGACTAGACTATAGACTAGACTATAGACTAGACTATAGACTAGACTATAGACTAGACTATAGACTAGACTATAGACTAGACTATAGACTAGACTATAGACTAGACTATAGACTAGACTATAGACTAGACTATAGACTAGACTATAGACTAGACTATAGACTAGACTATAGACTAGACTATAGACTAGACTATAGACTAGACTATAGACTAGACTATAGACTAGGACTATAGACTAGACTATAGACTAGACTATAGACTAGACTATAGACTAGACTATAGACTAGACTATAGACTAGACTATAGACTAGACTATAGACTAGACTATAGACTAGACTATAGACTAGACTATAGACTAGACTATAGACTAGACTATAGACTAGACTATAGACTAGACTATAGACTAGACTATAGACTAGACTATAGACTAGACTATAGACTAGACTATAGACTAGACTATAGACTAGACTATAGACTAGACTATAGACTAGACTATAGACTAGACTATAGATAGACTATAGACTAGGCTAGACTAGACTAGACTAGACTTGACTAGACTAGACTAGACTAGACTAGACTAGACTAGATTAGACTAGACTAGACTAGACTAGACTATACCTTCATGAACTAAAAGAAACTGTTGCAATATTTATATTTTATATATAAAGTAAATAAACCCTTTTTATGTAACTTTTCTTTTCTAACAAATTCAATATAAATAAATTCCAAAGCTAAAAATTAACAAGTATTTTCGTCGGTAAACAAAAAAGAACTGCAATTATTTTTGCAATTCAAACATGAATTTCTTTGATTTGATTTCAAGTACCCTTAAAAATATACACATAATGGAGTATAACACTTCAAAATTCAAGCTAAAAAAATAAATAAAATGAAAATTTTATTAAAATGTGTAAAAAAGCGTAAAATAAAAATTTCATAATACATGTTCTTAAGCAGCAGTTGTGGAGTTAGTGTATAACAGATTTGTTTGTTACAGCAAAAGAGTTTTACTGTAACAACGGACAATGTTCTGCAAACGAGTGTATTTCACATTTTCACTTCGCTGCATATTACAAAGTTTTAAATGTTCTACTATTATTATTGAGTTAAATGGCATAAATAAAATTTGTTTGGTAGAAAAAATTGCTTTTTATTCTTTTTGAGATATTGCGTTTTGTAGGGTGGTAAACTAAAGAAAAAGGAAATAAAACAATTTTTATTTTCTAAATTTAAATTCTTTTCTTCCTGTTTAGTTTGCTATACGAATAAAAAAAATTGCCATAAAATTGCTGTTAGAAAAAAAAAGAACTATAAGAAAGGAAGAATTAACAAATCACAAAATTGTTATTGAACATTAGAAAGAAAAGTGTATGGACTTTAAATCAATATTGACAGGTGAATGGGAAGGAGGCAGAGATAAAACAAATGATGAAACACTAACTCAATAAACAAAGTGCAGACAAAACAATAGACTTTAGGGACTTTTTTCTAGTTCTTCTTTTAATTTAGTACAAAGTCTTTTTCATTTGAAGTGATGAAGTAAAAATAAGTGTCAATGCTTTTTTTTAGGAAGTTCTTTTTATGTTACTTTTTTATTTAGTACATTTTTTATAGTTGAACATTTTTAATTTACTGTTAAGTAAATTGTGTTTTTTGATTTGTATTTTCAGTAAAATGCTACTGAAATAAAAATGGTAATAAAATTAAAAATTATCTAAAGGAAAGTTTTTTCCATATAAACTATTCTGTAAGAAATTGTCCATTAAATTTTTAGTGAAGAAAATTCTGCTGAAACATGACTCCACTCTAAATATTAATAATTGTCCGTAAATATAAACGTAATTTCGAAGCAATAAGGAGACAACACAAAAAATAGTGACCAAATTAATTTCTTTTCAAAAAGCCACCAACATCAGCTATTAAGCCCTGATCTTTGGAAAAAAGTAC